ACTTTTCCAAGAAAAATGAACCTTTTGCACAAGAAATATGAATAAAATCATAGGAAGGTACAAAAAAATGAAATGGTCCAAAACTAATTGAAAAGAAAAAAATCATTAAAGCATATACATAGAAAAAAAACATTAGCTATGGAGAACAAAATTAAATAGCATCTTATTCTACCTTAGGGAAAAAATAAAGAGCAAGTGGGTAAGAAACTGGACTTACTTATTCAAAGGACTGGAAAAAAAAGAAAAAAAAGAACTGCCCACGTTGAATTTTATACTTAGCAAACTTACCTTTGAAAACTGAAAGTAAAAAGTTTTCCAGTCATACAAACTCAAAATATTTTAATGCCACCAGACATAGCATATACAGAATAACAAAGACCGTATAGAGAAGGCCAGAGAAGTTTCTGTATGTATCTTTATTCTTTCTAGAAAAAGAATAAGGAGCTCTCAAAATGGTAGTTATGCAGGGCTATGTAAAATATATTAGACATACCCATTTAAGAGGCCATTGAGGATTTCCACCAAATAGTATCAATCTTATGTCAGGTTATATACATATTTTTTTCATGTGTGTGTGTGTGTAAAAGACAAGGAAGAATAATATAAAGTCAATGGAAAATGGAAATACACTTTTGAAGTTTCTAACACTATGAGAAAATTTCATACCATGTCTTATAGGTAGATTGTAAGTCAAAGAAATAGTATAAATCATAAAATAAAATTAAAATTAAACAATGTGCAGAAATTAGTTAACTATTCATTAACTCAATATTAAATATTTCAAAATAATATTCAGAAATTAAAATTAAATCATGAGTCCATCTAAGAGGCCAGAATGTAGTGTATTATATATATGAATCTGTGATCAATTCAGAGTACACACACAGTATTTGATTAGGTTAATATATACAAAAATATCACCTAAGAAAAAGTTTTCATGATAGTGAAGAATTACTAAGAATAAAACATAACAAAAATACTGGAATGTCAAATATATGAGCAGCACTTCTATTTGGGGGCAGGATATCTCACATAGTTCTAGTGTGTGGTGGACATGGACAGTGTCCATGGCACTTACTGGTGGCCAGGTGTCACTTGTGGGACTGAGCTACTGCTATTTCCTTGATATCCACCCTGTAGACCTGGACAGAATCATGACACATAGGGTGCAGCAGAAGTCCATTTGTGGAGTATACTGATGGAAATATTTTGCTGCTGTATACAAAAGAATAATCGAAAGACTGCTATTGTATACCTCTTTTTCTCCTGTATTTAATTGTTTCCCCTATTTGGTGAGTTCTTTCCATTCTCATTCATGGACTTGTGGTCATTTTCATCCCTCTCAAGAGTATCTTTTTGTGGTCTGTGTAGGGTTGACTTTGTTGTCATGAAATTCGTCAGTTGTTCTTCATCATGGAAGTATTTTGCTTCTCCATTCAACTTGAAAGAAAGTTTTGCAGGGTATAGCAGTCTGAGTTGGAATTCATTTTCTTGCAAGACTTGTACTTGCTCCATGGTCTTCTTGACTTAATGGTTTGTGAAGAGAAATCTGCTGTTCTTCTGATGGGTTTTCATTTAAATGTGATTTGTTTCTTTTCTCTAGCAGCTTTTAGAATACTATTCCTGTGCTGAATTTCTGGGATCTTGATTATTATATGTTTGGGTGTGTTTTTAATTTGGTATCAATTTGGAGTTATATATGCTTTGATTACCTGAATGTCAGATTGTTTCCCCGTATTTGGGAAGTTTTCTGCTGTTACTTTGTCCCATATTCTTTTTATATCATTTGTATTGACTCCATCTTTCTCATTAATGCCTATTAGTCTCACGTTGTTCATCTTTGCATCATTTTGCAGATGTTGAATTGCTTTTTCATGCATCTTGGTTCTTTTCTTACGTTTTCATTAGCTGCAATTGTGTCTTCAAGGTCTGAAGTCTGTTGTCACTTTCATTCAGTTTTGCTAGCTTGTGATTGAGGTTTTAATTCCTGTATATCACTTTGAATCTGCTTCATGCATTCTATTTCCTTCCTGTATTGCTCATTCAAGGATTCCATCATTTTTCTATTCTCCTCTTATTTTTTATGTGTCTTCTTTAGAAGCACTTATTACTTCTTTCATTACAGTTATCATTTCTTTTTTTACTTCAGAAATTATTTCTGATCTTATTTCCTCTATACCTTTCTGTAGTTGTTTCTTTACTTCTGATGCTATTATTTCAGATATTTCAGGTGTGTGATTTCCAATTTCTTTGATGTTATTGCCACCTGCATTTGTTCTGGTTGGGCTCAGGGCTTGAGGCTGCATTTTGCTCCTTCTCTTTGTCATTTTTGTATAGCATTGTCTTCTGATCTTTGGTATAGAGTTTTCTTGCAGTTATTAGCTTAGCACAAGGTCCGGATCTATCAAGTTTAAACTTGTTCAGGTGGGTGTGGCTGCTGTGCTCTACTTCTTCCTGCTGCAGCCCTTGGAAGTGAACCCAGTGTGCCACTCTGGCAAGATGTTCTGCTTCTGGATTAGCTGGGTGGGTCTTGCCTCTAGCTTTCTACAGGGATTTGTGCCAGCAGGGTTCCACCCTGGGCCTGTCTGATGGAGGAAGTTTCACACACACACCTGGCCTGAGTGCTGGCTGGAATGAGGATACCGCGGACTGACAGTCAGTCCCACTCACACACAGGGCCTGGACACTGGCTGAAGTAAGGATCTGGACGGCCCTGAGTGGTGCCACTCACACGCACCAGGCCTGGGTGCCAGCTGGAATGAGGATACGGAGGGTCCTGGGCTGCTCCAACACACATCGGACCTGGGTGCTGGCTGGAGCGAGGATCCTGAGGGCCCTGAGTTGCCCCACCACATGTTGGGCCTGGGCGCTGGCTGGACTGAGGATCCAGTGAGCCCTGGGTGGTCCCACTGTAAGTTGGTTAATCTCCATGTAAAACTTTCAAATAGTTGGAGCCATCCTTTTCAGAGCTTCTTTCAGCCGAATTAAATTACCTCCCTCTTGCTAGAGCACTTTAGGTAGAGTCTTACTCTTCCATTTTGGGGATGATATACAGGAAGTTGAGTTATGGATGAACATTGTGACCTGAAGGAGAAGTCTCCTAGCTTTAAATGCCATGGTTCCTTGTTCAATGGACTGTGGATAACTTATATAGGCAATGAAGGGCCATGAATTCAGGAAGAGCTTATTGTTCAAGGCAGGCATCAAAGATGGCATTTCCAAGGTTATGAATTTTAAATTAGTTTGTAGAGAAGGGTGGTTAAATAGGTGGAACAGAAAATAATTTTTCTTTATGATAACTGGTGGATTTTCTCTTGGGAAGAGAACTGATACTGAAGAATGTCCATGCAAATGGAGATTTGTGGGCAAAGTTTTTTCCAAAGGGACTTTTTGGGTCTTATTTTTACTGTTTTCTTTTTTGGTACCAGGAATCCAACTCTGGGCCTCGTGCTTGCTAGGCAGGTGCTGCAACACTGAACTACATCCCTGGCCCTTATGGGCAAGTCTTATTTCAACATACACACACACACACACACACACACACACACACACACACACACTTTTCACTTTTTAAACTTAAACTGGCATTGCTAACTTTATTTGCTAACATTTCTGGTATCTTTCTCCTAAGAGGAAGTTTCTCAAAAAAGGAAAGAAATAATATCAAGAATTTTGTCTTCCTAAGAAATAAAAGAGTAACATGTCTTATTGCTAACATAAGAAAGCACATATAAACAAGTGCATAGAAGTTGTGTGTGTGTGTGTGTGTGTGTGTGTGTGCGCGTGCAATTAGTTTATTTCATTTGTTTTACTTACTAGTACTTCATATTTACAAGTTTGGGACCCCTTGAAGTAATAACATCTTTTGGTGGGTAGTTGAGGCGTATGAGATATGTTTTAGTTTTTTCAAGGTATTCCACTATAACAGGCACCGTCAAGATGCCAGTGGCTTATCACAGCAAGCACTTGTTTCCATTCATCTTACATAAAAACTGCATCTTAGCTTCTGTGACTCTTTTCTGTAACCAGGCTGGCTTTAGATCTCATCCAACGCATGCTGTTTTCATGGAAAGGGAGCAAGAGGCTAAGAAAAATTACAAAGTTACTTTATTGAACATTGCCACGTATTTTATCCATGTACCATTGGACAAAGTCACGCGATCAAGTTTACAAATATTAGATTGAATAGAATATGTATGGGAGAGAAATTCCTGTGTGATTACATTTGATTATATGAGGAAACAATGAGAGTTGTAAGCAAAATGCTGTAAGAGAGTCAGGTTGGAGGTACTCAGATGGGGAGTGACATGAGGGAAGCTAAGGACAGTGTGCGCAGCAGTAGTTAGTGTCAGGTAAGACCTGGGGCGTGGAGAACAGGGGAAGCTGGTCTCTTCCTTACTGTGGCTGTCAGAATCCTAGTAGCAAAGTTTCAATGTAGGTAATCAGAAAGCATCAACGTTGGCGCTGCACATGGTATCATGGCAGTCATTCAACTCCTGCACAGCTTCCTTTTTATTTGCCTTTTTGTTGTCAAACCATAACAGTTTAGTCCTGCAGGATTTGCTGATTAATATTATGTAGTAAAAAGAAATAAAAATACTAAAACATAGAGCAATATGAGTCATTTTGATATGTGAAGCAGTCAAACACAGAAGCCAAGAGTCATAACCTTTTCTATGATGGTCTAGAAAAAGTAAACTCCAGTGACCAAAAGCAAATCAAAAGATGTTTGGAGCTGGAGGTCAAAGGAAAGAATTCACTAGAAATGGAAAGAAGAGTCTTTAGGCTGATGGAAATGTGCTATATCTTGGTTGTATTAGAGTATACATCATATTGTATTTGTAAAAGTGTATTTTATTGACTGTCAATTTAATGTCAATAAAACTGAAATAAGTAAATGTATGCTAGCTTCCTTTTTGAAGAATAAAAAAAGAAACACAAAAAGATTAATAATTGTTTTCTACAAAACTTTGAATTTTGTGTGTATGGCTCTATTTTAGAAAGAACTTGAAACAGCCAGAAAGTTTCTCTATTATGAAATGGGCTATAAATCTCGATCGGAACAGTTAACAGATCGCTCTGAAATTAGCCTGCTGCCTTCAGACATTGACAGGTACTGCTAATAAGTTTCTCTGTTCCTCTTTTTTCTTATTCTGCATAAGTGTATTTTACCATTGTTCACATGCTATATTCCAGATACAAGAAGAGATTCCATAAGTTTGATGCAGACCAGAAAGGCTTTATTACCATTGTTGACGTTCAGCGTGTATTAGAGGTAATATTTGGGAGAGAGGCTTAATGTCATTGTGAACAGAGGAATATAAAAATGATACTATATAACTTTTTCTACAGAAAATGTTTAAATTTTTGAAAGCTTGTTAATATTAGAAAGTGATATGTGCATAATTTTAATCTAATTTCATTTTTGTGTGTATTTCTTTTATGTAGAGTATCAATGTGCAGATGGATGAAAACACGCTACATGAAATTCTGAATGAAGTAGACTTGAACAAAAATGGGCAGGTTGAACTCAATGAGTTTTTGCAGGTGAGTTGTGGTAAGAGGAACCATATATTTGCTTTTGTCTTTTAGTGGTCATTTTCCTAAATGGATTTTCAACAATGAATTTTGAAGTTCACTCATTTGTCACTTCATTCTAAAAAACATGAAAGCTTGAAACCAGCAGTGGTTGATCTGTCTGCTGTTAGGGATAAAGCTCTACTTGGTGCACATTCTTTTTCTTTTTTTTTTTATAAGAAACATTCTGCTGTATTTGGCAAATTACATAAAATCCAAGTCAATTATGGCTTAAAGAGTTGAATAAAAAGCATGAGAATATCATGGGATATCACTAAGAGAACATTCTTATATCAGAGAGGCAGCACAACGTTTCTAATGTGAAAGGAAATTTTTTATGGAAGAAGTTGCAGAAATTATACTTGCAGTCATTTAAGAATCATATTTACTTACAAATATCATTATTAGACTTTTCACATGCTAAAGAGCCAGAAAAGCAAAAGGAGAGAAACATACTCTTTGAGTCAAGACCATGTAGTTTAAACATTTTCATTTCCAATTTTCAGTTAATTTAAGTTTCAGTTATTTAATCTTTTTAACCATGGTAGAAATAAAATCTGTTACTTTAGCTTTGTTCTGGATGTTGCATATCATTCCTTAAAAGTTCATTAAAAAGCAAAAAATTCACTAAACTTTTACGTTATTTATAGCTGTCCATAGGACTCTACATGTGAACAGTGTATTGGTTTCTAGGCAATCAGGTTATTTTCTGTAGTGCTTCTTGGGCAGGTATTTCAAATGAATGCCAGGTCTTGCTTGCACCATGGCAATGATGAATGCTGAACATGAAATAAATTAATGCTGGGGATTTTGGTCAATGTCAGCCCTTTCTTCACTGTGTCAAGTTAAACAAACAAGATCAAGGCAAAGGAAATGGTAATTGTCTCTCTGGAGATGAGCTGCTGATAAGAGCATTGTTGAATCTAAATGCAGAAAATCTTCACAGGTTGTGTCCAGCATTACAAAAAAGAATGTTTAGTTCTTTAGCTTACTGTTTAACGAAGTGCACATTTTAAACTGAATTTAAAATTTCTCCTTGGGATTTTGAAACCATCTAAATTTTTTTAATATAATTTTTCTGGAGAATATTTCATTGTCTCAGAATTTTAAATAACTTTACTTCAAAGAAATGGTTTATTCCATCTGTACTGTAAATAGTAGCATTCAGGGTTGGTAAACCTGGGTTTTAGAAACAAGAATTTAATTTTATGGATATGCTATATAGTTTAATTTTTAAGTAATTTTCTTGAATTTAATAGAGCTAAGCACATTGACAATAATTTAAGATACCTACAGGTTTTCTTGTTGAGTTTTTAAATGACAATTTCTTCTCTAATTCTAAATAGCCTATTAATGCTTTTAGTAAGGACAAATAAATTGTGATTCCAGTGTAAAAAATGCAGCCCTTATTTTTCATGAAATGTATTTATATCCAGATAGTCATATTTTTCATGAAAAATATTCACATCTAAATACTTCTTTTCCATATATGATTTTTAGGTAATATTTAAAGAAAACTTTTGAATATTTTAAGGTTTGTACATGTTACATACTATTTATGGCTACAATAAAACTCTAGCTCCATCAGTTTTGTTAGCTGTGATAAGTGCTGAGGTTCTTCCCGGAATCAGAGACAAAACAATAAACAATTAATTGTTCTGTCTTTAGATATCGGAATTCCTTGTATTATACTATTTCTCAGTTGTCTTTGGAGTTTGTTCTAACAACATTTTTCTGAGTATTAATAGCTCATGTTTATCCTGATAAACATCTATTTTTGAATATTGATGCTTTTTTCAATCATTCTCATAGAAGGATCACTATAAATATTGCCAGGTTACATGACTTCATTTCCAGGTTTGGGCTTTAATGACACTTCTGCATGTAGGAGTCCATCTCTAATAAGCAATCACTTGTGAAACAGCTTTTAATAAGGTCACGAAATTCTGATCCAGCCCCTTGGCAGATGCCTCTGACTCTTTTTGAGAGCTATTTTAAAGAAACCCAATGTGTAAGCTAAAAGCTATAACCCTAATAATATTTCAGTAATTTTCATATGTATTTTTTCAATACATAGTTCTGTTCCTCCTAAAGTAAATAAATAACAAAGAGAGGTGAAATGAAATCAAGAAAAGCAAATAGTTAAAGCTATATCAACTTGAAATGGAAAACAGAAATCCTTATGTTCATAATTGCAAGGTGCTTTCCAGATTAAAGGCCTTTGCCTGCTGACTGCATGTAATTTCAAGACTAATTCTGATTTTATCCATTGGATAAAAATGAATTAGCTAAAATCTGGACTGTAGAGTGCTTTTAATTCTTAGGGTAGGTCTCTGGGTCCATTTTCAAAAGGACTTAAGTGTAAATTACTTTAAAAAGTCTTTAAGGAATTTGGATTTAGGGAGCTTGAATTAGTCAAGTATAGTAATACTGAAAAAAGAATACTTAGATATAGGTCATAGTTTGTCTTTCTTCAATCCTTGAAATTCCTTTTTAAGGTTTTTCAATGGAATTAAAAGATTTAATATTGGAAGTTATTTAAAAACATTGTGCCCTGCCTGAACTCATTAAGAGGCCAAAAGTGATCCATTATATTTACTTTTAAAGGCAGATTGACTTGACAGGTAGATGTCATTTTTGCAGCCGTGGTGAAATACATGTCCCTTCCCCACTTTTTAAAATGTTCAAGACTGGAACTTTTATTTCAGCTGCAATATTTGCCATGGCGGTTAAAGGGGCACTTAGTTACTTCTGCCTGCTGCAGTGGTATATATGTGGGACTGAGGGAAGGGAATTCTGTGGCCAGCTTTCTGAATCTGTTGCGTTTTTTCTTTTGAAGCTGATGAGTGCTATTCAGAAAGGCAGGGTATCTGGAAGCCGGCTTGCTATATTAATGAAAACTGCAGAAGAGAACCTCGACCGAAGAGTTCCGATTCCTGTGGACCGTAGTTGTGGAGGATTGTGAGTCTGACCAGTAAATCCACAGCCAACCAAAATAAGAACAACAAACCACCATGCAACAACCAGAGAGGACTTATACAACCCTAAAATGGTGGCTGTAGTAGCTGCCTTTTTCTTTTTTTAAACACTGGAAAACATTCCAAAATACTAGGATGTTGGTATATTTACCAACCTAACAGAATGAAACTTTACTTATATTTACAATTCATTCTGGCTTCCAAAAAGTCTATTTTCTCATTTTCAGTGCACATTGATTTCATATTTTACATCCATTTTGTGACCTGTTAGACTCGACACCCTCCCTCCTTGATTATTCATGTATTTGTTATAAATCAATTCTAGATGCAGAATATTTTGGCAGAAATGGAAGAGAGAAGCTGGAAAAATTTGTGGCATAAAACTAGACATTTGAGTTTGTGGATAGCATTTCTTCTTAAAAAGAGTAATCTGTTGAAATGATAATCCCTTTCTTCTTTTTGCCTTCCTTTTCTAAACAGTGTTGCACAATTTTATATTTTCAGTGTGACTGGTAAAACTGGAGAGGGAAGACAGCATTTAGATCTGGCTTAGATCTGGGTACAAGTCTCAGAGTGCAACTCCGAGAGCGTCCGGAGTTGTAGGCAGACGATAAGGCTAGCACCGGCATCTCCTGGGAGTTACAGTGCTAGTTTCATCTCTGCTTATTTTTTTTTTCCCACAGTCTCTGCTGGTTTTTTTTAACTATCACAGCTGCCAGGAAGAGCTTTGCTTTTCTTACTTTATAAGAAGCATTTTAAGTGGCAAGTTGGAGCAAATGGAATGAGACTGTATCTTTCTAGTCTTTACAGCATAATACGTTTAAGGGTTAAGAACATATGTTTATTAAATTCACATATAACACAGGTTTCCATCCCCAAATCCTAAATTTAGGAGCAAATGATATTGTCAAACTTGGCCTTTTTACGGCATTATTTATAGCAGATAAATGTGAGTAGAGTAGAATAGATGCTAATTTTTATTATATGTAAAATAAGGTACCATATTTCAATGTGAGAGGTGAATCATGCTGCCTAAAGTCTTTCTCCTTTTGTACTCTGTGGAAAAACTCTCAATTGACCAAAAACAAAACAAAAACCATATCCAACACACTCAGACCAAAACCAAATATCAGTGTGCATTGAATTTAACAAATAACAAGGTGAATTAATAGTGCCAGTTTGAAATACTCTTGCTATATTTTATCAACATTTTAACAAGTCTTAATATTTATTAATTGTGATTCCTATTTTGAAGCTGCCATTTTTGTTTTATTTTTAAAAATTAGATTCTGTATGTCATAGTTTGAAATAACACTTCTGATATAGTAGGTTTTCATTGCACATTGAGGTCTTATTTTTTTAAACTAGTACCTAAAACATTTTTGTGCTATAATTTATATTTTTGTCAACATTGTAGAATATCTTCATGCTGCACACAGGTGGGTGGTGAGCCTGTGTGTCCCAGTAGGAGCTGTGAAGGTCACCTAGCCAAGGCCCCACCTACCGCCTCTGAAACAGAAATCACAGGAGGAAACAGTATCTTCACTCATTTTATTTTTAAACCAAGTTTAGATTCTACTTCCTAAAGAAAATCTAAGAGTGAATGATACTCTCAGGTGTCACTGTGAATTTTTTTCTTTCAAAGTGTGAATTTTTACTTCAGCTTAAAAAAAAAAATGGAAGCATGTGACTTTGCATCTTAGTGTTTTTCTACCAAGACAATAAATTTCACTGCTTAGACCCCCATGATACTAAATAAGTAGAAGAGCTGTCCTTTAAAACATCCAGATTATATACCACAATGTTGTATTCTCTCTCTCTTTCTCTCTGTGTGTGTCTCTGTTTCTGTTTTTCTCTAGTTAGATCAAGATAACGATGAATTGTGTCCCCCTGGTTCTGTTACAGTAGGGACTGGGCTTACGACTCGAGTGGCTTGGGCAGATCTGTGTTTTTAAAACAGGCCTTGTTGTGCACGTTTTGCTATGAATGAAGTTCCTTTAAGGACAAAGAAAAGTGCACTTATCTAGTTTTAGTGTATCTGCTTTTGCTTAAAACCTACAGATTCTAAAATCCATACTCCTTCACCAATCCCAGAGACTCATTTTGGAAATGAAATAGTTTCCAGCCATTCCTGTGAATGAAGTCCTGGGCATCATTGTATGACTTTTTACACCTGGATGATTCCTTTATCGGATTTAAACAAAAAGGAAAGAAGAGAATAAGCTCCTTCAAAACCCATTCCAGGCACAGAACAATGCTTGTTTTCCTTTTGTATAAACATAATATTACTTGATTCTGTTGGGTGGGTGTGCAGGGACTCCTTTTTTCACCGAGTGATCTGTTTCAAGAGGCTTTGAGGGGATTCAGGTGAAGGAGCCCCTATCTGTGCTAGAGAGTTGGCGACTCTTGACTGGCTCCCACCTCGGTCATAACAGCAGTGATAATGCTGGATTATTTGTCGAGTACAAGTTGTTTGCCCCCTATACATCATGCTTAAATGCTCTTGTTTTCAATCAGTTTATCTGAGTGCAACTTTAGGATTTCTACTGTTGAATGCATGCTTTTTATTGTGCATTAGTTTCTGGCTTTGTCTGTGTAGTTTTCTCTTTTGTACCACAAAAATTTCAGTCTGATTTTAACTAATATACTGTAAGAGTCAGCATTGATTTTATTTTCTTTTTATGCATTTATAAAGACTTTTTGGCATATTAATCTAATCATACTGAAGTCAGTGACTAGTTTGCACTGTTTTGCATTATGTTAACCTTTTCTAGGGAACAAAAAAGCCCTACTATGTTTTTAAACAGTATCAAGCATAAGTTAGCCAAGTACTGAAGTGGATATATACACTGCATGTTTTTTTTTATGTGGCACTTTTATGTATTGTGTTGGGTTATTGTTCTAGATTAGACTGTTAAATGCTATGTTTGAGGCTGGGTTGTCATTTTTATAACTGTCTTGGTGTTTTATCGCCATTATTTATTACTTTTGATATATGGAATGAGCTGCATGCTTTTATAGAGCAATAAGAAGATATATTTAATGTGCCTTGTTTTTAACAGAATAAGAACTGAAAGCATGAATCAATAAAACTGATTACAGTGGTCCATTTGCTGGCACTTGTTGTTACTTGCAGTCAGACCAATAACTTTGATTACTGTTGAAGTTCTTTTAAAAGTTTGGAAATATATCCACAACCATATTTTTAATGTGATTATATTAGCTTGGAATTTTGTAACTTTATCTCAAAATTGAAATATCTGCAATGATAGATGTAATTTTGTGAGACTACCAGAATTATTTGCATTAATTTGTTGCTGTAGCCTTTACAGCATGACTTCTGTATTTGTGCAATTGTATTCTAAAATTACACTCATCCTATTACAATTCAGTTGAGTTCCTTTTTCTCACTCTTCCCCTCCCTCCCATTGCTCTCCTCAACCAGATCCTTTCAGCCTATGCATTCCCGGAACACTGATGAATTTTATCATAACTAAAATCAATAGAAATGAATGGGAAAGATTACATAATCCATTTTGATCATCTTACATGTCAAGCAAGTGCTGGGTTGCCAAGTGTTGATAAATGCTCTGACAGAAAAAGGTGCTGTATATTTTCATTGTTAGTAAGTCAGTAAAGCTGTTATCAGTTTTAATATTGGGAAAATTTTATAATGCCTGTGTTATTTTACAGGTTTTAATTTGTACTTATGCTTGGAGTATATTCCCTATTTGTGGCTTAGGGGTGCAGCCTCCTGGTTTTGTGTGCTCAACAGCATTCATAAGCTTCTGAATGTTCTTTGAAATTATATAGAATACACCAAAGCAACAGCTTGCATACAGACTTGGAACAATGAACTATTTGTTTAGTTCCTGGGAAAAAAATAGCAGTTCAAAACATTTTTCATTGATCCAGCCTATCATATTTGATAGCATTTAAAAGTTTTTCAAAAAAACATTTTTTTAACATAAAATTTGTCAAAAGTATTGTCCCCAGTTTTTAAAATGTGTAAAATAGATTATCCTAAAAAAGGGGGTAAATATGATAGTAGCATCATTATTTTATAACTTTTGTTAACAGTGTATTATCAGTGGTATCACATTTTGCTTGATATTTGACTTATGAAAGAAACAGTACAATTTTAAATAGATCTGGTACCTTCATCGTGAGGGAATTTATGTGTAAGAGACAAAATCAAGTATCCTTTTGTTCCTGAGCTTTATAATTTAGGTCTCTAATTAGTTACCTAACCTGTGAAATACTGACATAGGACATTGTTATGCAAGCATTGATGATAACCACACACAGTTCTTCAGGTCCTGGGCTAAGTGAGTGTGGTGCAAAAATCAACAGGTATCTTCATATTTGTTAACTACATGGTCCAGCATAATATTCATGTGATTAAGCTAAATACTACATCAGCAGAATTATCAGTACCATCTTTGTTCTCCACATTTGACATTGACTTGAATGGCTTACCATACTGTACAGTAGGTGTTCACATTGGAGATACTTGACTTAAGAAGGTGACAATGTTATAATGTGGGTAATATATCATATTCTGTTAGAGAAGATAGGAAGATTAAATTGCTTATATCCAGTCTTGAATGTTAGAACATGTCACTTGACATAGGTGGTTGTACAGCTTCCGATCCTTTCCACTCAACTGTTTTTTTTTTGTCTGAAAGCATCCCTACCCTCATTTCCTGGTTCAGGGGCTTCTGTAGAAAGCGTGTCATGCATTTCATCTTTGTGGGCCACAACTAGCTTTCTTTCCTTATCTCAAGAATTTGGGACAAAACTGACAGACAGACAGGTAATTTAAGTTTTTCTTTTGGTTATGGTACCTATAGGAGAATCTGAAATGGATGATTTTTTTTTTTTCCATACAGGTTTTGTTTTAATCTTACAGTATCAGACATCTAAATTCCTTATTAGTGCTCTTTAAAAGTTCAATTTAGGCATATCTGGTTTTGTTCAAATGATGTAGATAATAAGCTCATTCAAGATAATATGTTCTTTAACCCGCCCTCAATGCCCTCCTTTAAGCAAGGGCTTTTAAACAAACTAGCTCATGCTCCCGAAGGTTTAGGCCAAATAAGTCACTTTCCCTGTTTTATTTAATTTTTAGCTTTTCTCACTGTTGCATCAGGGTCATTTTGTTGTTGTTGTTTTCCATGCCCATCATTAATCGATTTATAATTCATTTTTATGCATACAGAGTTTTTCCTATCCAAGGTAAGAAGCTGTAAATCTTAGATCTATTGATAGTGAGAAACATTTCATTTTTATCCCATGATCATTTGCCATCCTTATTGCAGAAAAATGGCAAAATTATGGTGTACCATGTTTTCATAAATTACTCCCCCCTTCCTCCTGTGCTCTAGTTCATTTCATTATTTGTTTGGAAAGATCAAGTCAGAATCCAGACACTTGTGGTAAACAATTCTGATTTTACAGCAGGCTAATCAAAATTTCATAACATTACAAATTAATTCCTCTGGTACTGTGAAGAATTTAATTCATTTATAAAATACATCATGTTTCATAAGTCAAATATGGCTTGATATTAAAGTACATCCTATGATTGCTACTATAGCAGAGAAGAGTGCTGAATTCCTTAAATAATGTATATAATTTTCTTTGAGTTTCATGTCAAAGTAGTCATTTATGTGCTGAAAGATGTATACTTTGCACTATGTGTTTGAACACTATTAAAACATCATGGCTTCTTCCAAAAAGGACAAATTATAGGTTTGCATTTCATATATGACCTAGATTGAAATAACTTATAAAGGGATCTCTTTTCACTCCAGTCTCTGTGAGGAATACCCTTAAAAATAAAAACTGAAAATATTTCTAAGAAAAATGTTTTTAAAATCAATAAATGATATTATCTACTATGTTATAATGTTACTATTAAATGGACAGACTTGGCTGTTGCCCTTTGTATCTGTTTTAATGTCAGATCAATGCTGGGCAGCTATTTAGATAGTTGAAAAAGCCAAGTTTATCCTGATAAAAATATTTGTCATGGCGAGCTGCTAAACAGTTTTGAAAATGGGCCATTTTTTAAATGGAGCTTATCCAGCTTGATCCATGCTTTAAGCAGCACTGAACCATTAAATATAAACCTGGGATAAAATGCCTTTGAAAAGGGTTAATTAGTTTTAATATTGATTTATTCCATATAGGATGCTAATAGACTAGAACATTTATTTCTGTTTTGGATCATTAAAAACTGGCTTTAGCTCTTGAACAATTTGTTTCTAAAAATTAAAAATTAGACCAATTAGAGTAGTTTTAGTATAACCTACTTCCACTTGTATTTGAAAACAAAATTCTGATCATCATTTCACAATTCACTGAAGTCCTGTGAGAGACACTGTACATAATGTACTTGGAGGACATTAAGCTACCAGGACCACTTCTGCATTAAAAAGAAGGGTGGAGTATGGCGGTCATTAGTATATGGTGTGAACATTCCCTAGCGTTGCGTTGGCATGTGTGTTTCCTGGAGTCATTTTTTTCTAACAGTAGGGTTTGCTCCCATTGCCTTCATTACTTCGCTTTCCGTATCCACTGACTTTACACTTGGAAAATAGGATTGCATTGAAAAAGTTTACCTTGGCAAAGGTGCTTGTCTATCTGCAGGGGATACCTCCCATACTGTGCTTAGTTTTTGTTCTTATGCTGCCCTCTAATGGATACCAAATTATTTCATTAAAACCACAACAAAAGTAAATTTTTAGCTTCTCAAGGCTCCTACAACAGCCTATCACCTGCAAATTGAGATCTGACCATTTTTTGCCTTGCTCGTGTGCTGGTTTAGGAGAAACAGTAAGTTCGTTCTTATTGTATAGTAGTCACCCTGGCCACAGTTGCCTTCTCCTGCTGGGCAGAAGAGGGACAGCAGTGCTCATTTGTCCTCTGTCAAACTTTCCTCCCTTCCCCGCTACCAGCCACTGGAAGGAATTGATGTTTTGGGAACTAAAGATGAGGAATAAAAACAGTGTAAGTGCTGTATTAAGATGATATGCTGTATGTTTTATCAGCCACTGGCACCTAGTTCAAAAGACAAAAAAACTAGGAGCTGTGGTTTGGGAATAGGGCTGTGCACAAGGTGGATATCAAATCCATACATGAAGAATATCAGCACTTTTCACATGCTGCTTTCTGACACCCATTGCTAGAGCTGAAAACTATCTCTATTGTCCAGTTTGATTGCTTGAATCAAACTGATTTACAGCAAATCCATCTGAGCTTTGATAAATCTATTACAGTTTCATTTCACTGATTTCATTAACGTGAATAAAACCAGCCATGCTTTCTGCATAACTGCCTTTTAATGGCTTGGCCCTGTCACCTGCCTGAATATTAATCCCCCTGACTTATTGCTCCACAGAGGGAATGAGTAATGGGTATTTGAATGTGATCAGCACAGTACAATGCAATTAAGGAAGCAGTACTGTTCTGTGCCTTTAATCCTGAACTAATTTGAATTGCAGTTTGATAGCACAGTGAATCCTGCATAATTATGTAGGGTGCATATTAAACTCTGTGACAAACCGGAGAAGCTTTTAACCATCACAGCTATGGTAGACAAGTGAAGGCTAGAGTCAGAGAGCCCACTATTGGGCTGAGAGCTCAATTAATAGAAAACCTTCAGCAGAGGAGGCTTCGTTCA